GGATGGCGATCAGTCAACCCAGGAAAGGATGTGGACTTGAGCAAACCTAGTGACTTGAAGTATCACAGTTGCCAAACTCATTTAGTTTAATTATCTAGACTAGCAGTTACGCTCATGGGACCATGAAGGTAAGAAAAACAGTAAAGCTACCTGTATAAGTGTATGTGTTGGGGGAAAACCATTGGCATTTATTGAATGATTAATATGTGATAGTTTTAAGCATTTTTTTGTATACAAAAATGAATACTATTAGTTTTACACTCTTTAAAGATGAGAAACCAAGGCTCTGAGAGGGTACATTCATGTATACAGTTACCTGTAAGTTAGCAGCGATGGAATTTGAACCCTGGCAGCCAACACACCTGTCTGCTGGACTATCCAAGGCCCTCAGTCTTAGATGATTGTGCCCATGGGAAAACTATGGCCCCAAGCTACTAGATCTTTCCTTTTTTGAAAGGAGCCAGCTTATTTTTCAAATTTTTAATGAAAAATATCTGAATTTTTAAATTGTTGGCAATATCTTTAAAAAATTTTTAAATCTTATTTCAGGTCAACTATTGAGTATAAGCTGAGTGTAGCATAGGATTACTTCCTTCTTTCCCAAAATCATTAAGTCATTGGTCAAGCTGCAACTCTGTGCATATGTAGGGATAAACCTGGACCAAGGAAGGGGAAATGTAAACAGGAACCCACATTTCAGGAAGTAGCCTTTGAGGAAGCTTCGCAATATTGGGTTATCAGAGGCAGTTTGACCTCCTAGGCTTTGCTAGTTTTACCAGAAACCTAGGGAGAATGTGGGTCAAGATTTCAGATTTGTGATGGAGTAGAGTCTAGACCTGCCTGTTTAGGCCAGAATGCTATAATCCTATAGTTCAAAGATTCCCAACCAGCCACATAGTGGTATGTGGTCAGTGGGTCACATGTGAGCTGAAATACTGAACCTCTCAGTCCTCAGGGGTCTAGGTAGTTTCCGTGGTCATGAGGCCACTCAGGTGGTCATGTGTGGCCGTAAGAAGATTCTCCTTTCAACTTAACCTATGTTGCAGATGTTATAATTTTTAATAAATGCATGACAGGAAGTTAGAAAGTTGTGAAGCAATACTATGGTCTGTTTCCTATGTAATGTGTATTGTCCTGACTTACCCACCAAGTGAATGGGATCTATATCTCTATATAAATTCTTCAGTGTAACTTTTCTGCTCTTCTGCTCATCTGGATAACAGGATATCCTCCTCTGGGTTTTTCCCAACATATTCATGAAGGTTTTCATTAAAAAAAAATCACTACATTTCATTCATTCATCCCTTCTAGTTCTCTTCCTGACCACCAATATCACATAGCAATTTGCTACTATTTGGTATCAATTCATTCAATCATGGCTTCTTTAGAAAGGTCCCTGGGCAAGGGCATGGGGCCTACCAGGGTTACGAGCTTGTCTCAGTCTGCCAGGAATATTCCTGATTTTAACACTGAAGTCTTGTGTCCCAGAAATCTCCTCAGTCCTGAGTAAGCCAGGATGGTTGGTCACCATAGGTCTAGCACAGAGGTAGAGTTGTAATCACAGACAGAAAGAAAGACCCTTCTTTGTATGAGTACGTAGTTTGGGGAGGAGGGAAAGAGGAGGAGAATTTGGCTTCAAATGGATAGGTAGGTGTAGGGATGATGGGTGGGATTTCACACAAAATAACCTCATTTTTTCTTTCCTGGATAGACATAAGGTCATCTGCAGACAGGAAGGTGGGCTGATGGTAGAAGAATTGTCACTTAACAAATCCTACTTCTTAACACATCCTTTTAAAACAACTCAAAAACAACTTAGGTGCATTTATATGCTTTGCATGAATGTACTCTGTCATTTCTGTGAGGAAGCAAATTATTACAAATAGCTACAAAAATGAAATAGTTATATATTTATTTTTTCAAAAACAAAAGGCAAATTCCAAAGGTATAATCTAAGATGAGGCATCATGATCACTAGAGGTGCCTGTTCCCATGACTGCCATGCTTTAATCCACTTTCCCTCAACTGTGTACCATCCTCTGGCTCCCCATCCCTCACATCCTAAATAAGACACCTAGCTTAAGTAACAATTTACTCACTTAAAAGTGGGAAAATGTGGTCATTATTGAGGGAGTGTAGCACCAAAATCTGTATCAGTCAAGGTTTTACAGAGAAGGAGAACCAATAGGATATGTATGTATGTATGTATGTATGTATGTATCTATCTATCTATCTACCTACCTACCTACCTATCTATCTAGATATTTAAGAAGGGATTTATTATAGAAATTGGCTTATGCAATTATGGAGGGACAATATGACGCCTGCAAGTTGAAGACCCAAGAAAGCTGGTAGTATAATTCAGTCCAAGGCCAAAGGCCTGAGAACCAGCGGGGGAATGCTGTTAGTGTAAACCCTGGAGTCTGAAGGCCTGAGGACAAGGAGTTCTGATGTCCGAGGGCAGAAGATGGATGTCCCAGCTGCAGAAGAGTAGAATCTGAACTGTGGCCCTTGTCAAAGACCCACTGGAGGGCAGACACTGGCAGGCTGTGGGAGAAGCTGAGGATAGGGTGAGTGAAACTCCACAGGTGACCTTGGACAACTGCCTAACCTTTCTGTGCCTCTGCGTGTTTATCTGCAAAGTGGAGTGGTGGACTATGTGAGCCCCAGAGTTCCTCATGCATTCTAGAATTGCAGACTTTTTGAGGGATTGTAAGAGGAAAGAAGCAGTTACAGAAACACAATTTTAAAATGCTAGGTCTTTGGTATTTTAAGCCAAGGAATTGGCCAGGGGTACCTGAAAAAAAAATAGGATTATGAATAAGATGGAACCAGGCAGCACCCTAAAAGTTTGTGACAAAGGAAGCCTCAATCTTCACATCAGAAGCAAACTTCTCACTGTATACCTTTATATTTTATAAAACATGGTCACGTGAAACAATAGCTTGCAGACTGGGAAGCACTTGAACATAATAGTATTTTATTTGATCCTCATACACTCTTGGAAGACAGAAAGCATTGTTTTTACTCTATCCACTTTATGAACAAGGAAAATGAGTTTCCAAGTAGTTAAGGTCACAGAGCTGAGTACTGGACTCTGTTCTTACGTATTTCTGTACCCTCCATAGAGAATGGGGTCAGTGGGGTCTTATCCTTGAGCCGCCGTGTCAGAAGTGGGAGCCCTGGGCATGGAGCCTTAGGGACTTATGGAACACATTATGTCCTCACTAGGCTGGAGCAGGGACTATGGTTGTGGATGCCATAGTTGGCCTGCTCTGGAAAGGGTTTCCTTTATCTCCACCAAAGAGATATCACCAAAGATCTGGGGGTAGCTTGGCCAGTCTGTGTGCTGACTCTCTGCTGGAGCTGTCTCCTAATCAGGTCACTGCTAGAGTTCTTCTTCCTAAATGTCCCAGTGCAATGACTTTGGTGCTCTGGCTTGTGGGATTTGTCAATCTAAGAGTCCAGAGTCTACGAGGACTTCTGCTTCTCTATTATATGCTGCTGTGTGAAGCTAAATGCTACTGTACCAGTTTTGTTGCTGTTTGGATTTTTTTTTTTTGTTCCCAGATTATTGTTCCAAAAGTAGACCTAGGATATATTCTTATACATTTGAATTTAATTAAGAACTTTTTCTCAATGACATAAATATGGTTTTACTCTTTCCAGCCAGGCCAGACAAAGATGCCTGAAGACAGATTTCTAAATGATGCTGTGTGACAATTTCTCTGTTCTTTTTAAATATTGTAACTAAGTAGCCCTGCTCTGAGATGGTGATTTATGACTTTCACATGCTGTCCTGTACCACTCTCTGATCACAAAGGAATACATAGAAACTCACCAAAGCAATTGCTCTCAGGTGTCAAAATGGAGTCACGTTGCCCCTTCTAACCTCACGAGGATCCTTATGGGATTCAGGATGATCACATTTTCAGTATTCTGAGGACTGTCTCTGTATGACCCCAGCCATACTTAACCACTCCATGACTTGGGGGAGTTGGTAGCAGGATTAAATTTTTCATACCATGCCTATTACTGATGTATTTGACCTGTTGAGCCTCCAACAGCATTGAAGACTCCACTTTTTGTGTTCCAACAGGACTAAGACCAGAAGCAAATGTGCTATTTTGTCCTGCCATTTCTCTGCTGAGCAACAGCTCACCCTTGGAACTGCTGCTGCCTAAAGAACATGAGAAGATTCAGGAATGCTAACAATACTTACCTACATATCCCATGCCCTCTGCCCTTGCCCATTGTAACAGCCTCACCACTTGAGTCAGTAAGAGCCCACACTTGTTCAGTACATGTTGGTGCTCACTTCAGCTGTGGGTTCGGATTTAAATATCCAGCTCAGGGGATGCCTCTTTGGTGCATGTCATAATCAGGAGAAGGATGCCTCTCTTTGGATTCTGGAACTGACTCTATTTGTAGTGAAGAGTTTGGGGAACATCAATAATGGGATGGCAGCATTCATTCATTCATTTATGCCTCTAACCAGCCTTCCCTCACATAGTGAATGAGTACTCAATACGTGCCCTGTGCTAAGCTGAGTACTGTTCAATGGTGAACAAACAAGACATGGTCTTAAGGAGGAGTCCCTATTTCAACAGAGTAGCCCAAGGAACTTCGACCACTTTTGCTACAGGTGTATTAGTTGCTGCCAAGAGTCTGCAAGTGTTCATGGGCCTCATTAAGCTCTGCCTTCCTTCTGCTTTTTGGAGTCTGGCCCTTGGTTGGCCTTGAACGAAGAATGGGGCCCTCAAAGTACCACTGTCAGCACTCTCCAGATGAGTACTACCCTGGGAGGGGCCAGGGCATGAGGAGGGCCAGGGCGTGGGGCCCTCTGAAGGCTGTGTCATCCCAGGCTTCAGCCACAGAGGTTTTATTACGGAGGAAAGCTGAGCTGTGAGCACGTTGCTAGGCTGTGGCTATTTATTTTTATAAACGAGCCTTGTGCTTAATTTAGAAACCTGCTTTTTCTTTTTCTTTCTTCTTTCCAGCATCATCTGGCTGTCTGGCACCATCAAAGAACTGCATTTCTGACCAAGAAGAGCTTATGGGTGGATGGGGGTGGGATGGAGGCTGGGAAGAGGACTGATGCCAGCCAGCTGCCTCATGGTGTGCTGGAAACACGTGGCCATGCCATTAGCATCCTGTTGGGTTTCTGGATGAGTTTCATCTGCGACACCTACATAGTCCTCGCTTGGATCAGCAAGATAAAAGGCAGCCCTGGTGTTAGTGCCTCCTCTGATGAGCCACACACCAGAATCCAGCAGAGCAGAAGGCAATGCCACGCAGAAGAGGACCAAAGTCAGGTGCCAGAAGCAGGTGACATCTCCACTCTCAGTTCTTTGGAGGCAGCTATTTTAATAGAACCACTTTACTGCAGCTATTTTGACATGAGGATATTTTGGTATGGCTCAAAAATTCAGTCGATAAATGTTCAGCTTTTTAAAAAATAAATGATGAGTAAAACAGGCATCTTGCAGGCCATCTGTGAGCTTTGCCTCAACCTTGATCTTCACCCCATTGTCAATCTTACCTCCAGGCATCAAGGGTATAAGGATTGGGAACAGATGAAGGAAAGGACTGGTAGAGGTTCAAAATGAAAGAAATAGCAGGTCAGGACCCCAGGAGGGTTGAGGGTCTTTTAAAGTAAAACAAAACAAACAAACAAACAAACAAAAAACAGGGTCAACCAAATTCAGAAATCAGGTAGAAGTCAGAGAAGGAATGAAAGATGGGAAATTGGTTATAAACCAAATACAGCGAGTCTGAATTTTGGCTTGTTTTGAGGCTGCTGTATCAAAACAGTTGTGTTGGAAGAGCTGCATGAAATTGTTGGGCAAGACATAGTCCACTCATGATTCAGATGAGCTCATTTTGCCTCTTCCATGGTTGATTTCTGACTCATAAATGTCTATACATTTCACTTTATGGCTTGTGTGAGCCTCAGTTTCCCCACATAAAATGAAGATGATGATGCCGGCCCTTCCTCTTCCCCACCTTTTGCTCTCCCTCCAAGTGACATGATAAGGAATGAGCCAGCATCTTGTAAACTGCTCCAGGCCACCTGGAGAAATGTGCTTGCGTAAATAGTCGGCATTAGTGTACGTGAGTCTTCTATGAGTAAAGAATTTCAGAGTCGGCAGCCGTCTCTGCCTGGTGATTCATGTGGGCACAATGATGCCCTTAGCTACAATGTATGGTGTGGGTGATGAATTTGTTCTTGTCATGGCAGAGGACTGAGTATTCTTTACCCAAATGCTACAGATTGAGTTTGCACGTGGGAACTAGATTAGCTCTGAAGAGAGCTGAAAGGAACCTGACATTTCTGCCTGCAATCTAGAGCTTCATTGTACAAACAACCGCAGCAGCATGTTTGTGCCCAACCATTGGCTTTCCTTTGCCAACAAAGAAAATCTTCTAAATTATTCTGCCATTTGTCAAACCTGCCAAAGTCCCTGGAGGCAGTTCTGGTATAACTGAAGGTGGAGAAAGAAAATATTCTCTCTACCAGGTTTCACTACTTCCTGTGTTGGTTGTTCACAAGGGGAGAGCTTCTGCATCACAGGATGAAGCTTCAGTGATTTAGACGTGGAATATCCTTCCAGGATTAGGGCAAGGAGGCCCCAGCCTCCAGAAGCCTGTCTTGCAGCTTCCGCGTGGCTGGGCAGCGGCCTTCCTTTGAGCCTTCAGGGTGGAAATGAAGGACATGTGTGTCTCTGCAGCACTTCCTGCTTTGGCTCATCCCTATTTTCAGAGCCAAAGCACCATCTCCTCTGGTACAGTTAATCTTTGTTCCTGCCACTGACCCGTCTATCTTTATTACTTTTCACCACGTCCTGGCCTTCAGATTTCTTATGGATTTCTTTCTCAGGCATTGTGTTTTGATTCCCTCCTCACATTTACTTCCAAGTGCCAAGAACAACTCTGTTCCGGCAGGAGGATATTATTTGGCTTAAAAGGGAGAATGAGCAGTGGCTTCTCCCCGTCAGCATTCTTTAGGTTTACATGGGAATTCATTCTGGGAACCATTTAGAGTCTCCTTCAAGCCTCTCCCCGACTGACAAAGTTTCTGTCCCAGAGAGTTCCTTTGCTTCCATTGTTTCTAAATGGATGATGAGAACCTTTCTTTCTGAGCCTGTGTAGAAGGGCTCAACACCCTTCCCCTCATTAGTCCCCAGAGATCTTGGCTGAGCCCACAATGAATACACGTTGGGTATTGTTACCATTGTTACAGACTTCAGCATCAACTCCAGTATTTGATGGTCCAATACACCTTGAATCCTCTTCAAGAACTGTTAGTTTTTCCCACCTTTGAGAACCACACTCACCTTTTAGGGCAGCTCTTCCTAAGTGACTAACAAACACTCCCTGGTTGAGCTGGAGGGGACAGGTCCAGCCAACAATGGCTTCTCTGTTGACATCACTCAGGCCTTAATGACACAGACTAGGCACAACAGCTAGTGCCCTCATGGGTGCCTATTAATATTTTGGGTAAGTTGTGTTGTCCCATCCACCACTCTGTACAGTGATTCTGGAATTTGCTATTTGATACGAGTAAATGAAGAGATGGAAGGGGCTGTTCACCACTCAGGCTGCAAGCAAGCCTGTCATGCCCATCTGCAAAGAGGACTCCTTGTGTGCCTCCAAAATGGCCTTGTCCTTAACTTGATCTGCTTGGACTGATTGCAAACAGTGGCTTAGCTTCCTCTAGACCAGAGGACATTCTGTGCTCCCAAAACAGAATGCTACACATGGGAACAAGGGAAAGGGAGGCTTTGAGAGGTCAGCCAGCAAGGTCCCTGCTTCAAGCCTAAAACCAGTGTACTTAGGTGAAGATTCAGCAGGATAAGGCTTTGCGAGGAATATCCCTAGCATGTCAAGGTGATCGCAGGTACGTGAATTGGCTCCTTTTGAGTCTTCCTACAACTCTTAGAGGCAAATAGGGCGGGTATTATTACTCTAGTTCTACCAAGGGAGAAACTAAGTTCTAGAAGTCAACTAAGGAAGTTATGTAACTTACTGGCAAACAGGACACAAGAAACCTCAAATTCCTGACATCTGTTCCAGTTTTTCCCATCACCCCATGTTGCCCTTCAGCAGGGCTTAAGCAAAACAGCCAATGCAAGTCCTAGCCTTTCCAGCTGGGCTGAAGTTAGAAACTGGCATGGATTTACCTTGGAGTAGCTGGGGCCTGGGAGGCTACATATACTGTTTCTACTTGCTCATATTGCAGGGCAAGGCTATATGGCTCAGCAGGGCTGAGACTATTTGGAGACTCTATTTTTACGTGGTCATGGTGAGGGGGAGTGCAAATGAGAAAAGGGTACAACAATTTGCATTTGTGTATGTGTGTGTGTGCATGTGCATGCACATGTGCACATGTCTGGGCACACAGATGAGAAGACATTACTGTCATGATGGCTGTTGCAGGTGGATGGAACAGGTTCCCTTGCAGGTCATCTGCAGCTTCATGGACACATTGTGGCTTCTTACCCAGAGATGCTTCTGCATCTCTGCCTGATGACTCTCTCTGGCCACAGAAATTTGTTAAGCCCCTGCATGGGGAAGCCCAGAACAGCATCAGAGTTAAAGGTGCCTGGAGCAACCCTTAACCAATGAAGGATGGAGCTGGTTTAAAAAAAATATAATAAAGTCTTTTTTTTTTTTTAACCCCCTGCCAACAGGAAAATTGACGTGTTTTCTACTGAGCCTTTGAGAGGGACTCCAGGGCAAGTAAAACCCAAGTGCTCTGTGCAGCATCCTGCTCATGAATACTCCCTTTATTGGCTAACCCACCTCTCTCTATCTTGCTTCTCCAATCCCTCACTGTGTTTCTGGGGATCACATTCCCAGTAAACATTTGCATCTAGATTCCTGTTTCAGGAATCGAAACTAAGACAGTGGCCCGGTTCCTGCCTCCTGAGAGTGCCTTTATGTGGTGGGTTTTCAGCCCCGCCAGATTCCTGCTGAGTGGCAGGTATGCATTTCCATGTTGGGCGTTGCCCCCTTTCAGCCACTGGCCAGGAAGATTGTGGCTCTGGTAGAAATAATTATAGAGTTTGTCAGGTTGGAAGAATCTCATCTCCAGGAGGACCCCCCCAGTAGGCCAGCAAAGATAAGAAACAGAATGAAGATGGGTGCATGCCTGTGGTCTCAATTGGGGAGGCTGAGGTGGGAGGATCACCTGAGCCCAGGAGTTTGAAGCTGCAGCGAACTAAGATGACAACTGCACTCCAGCTTGGGTGACAGAGACCCCATCTCAAATAAACAAGAAACAGTGAATGGAATTAAAACAGTGAATGTTCATTAAAAACAATGCCAAATTGAAGCAAGCTTGGAGTTTTCTTGTTGAGCACATGGGCTCCTGAGCAGGTGCAGCCTCAGCTACTCCTCATTACCTTTCACCAGGCAAGCCACGCCTGTAAGAGCTCACTTTCACGGCGCATGTCTGGATTGACTTACTATCTAAATTTCTCTTAGTGCTGCAGCAAGAGAGTCCTCTGCAGCATAGGAAGGTAGCATCAGAACTCCCTGGGGTAGGATCAGGTTTCTGGATGATGCATTTCTATCAGTTCTCCTGAGTTCCAGCAGACAGCAGATTCGACTTGCAACCAAACAGACATATGAAAGTAAATGTGCACTCCTAACATTTTGTAACCTGCCTCCCACAAAACAGAAGGCACTCTTCCCTTTGCCTTATTCCCTGCCTTGCTCTTGACATTTTTACAGCCGACTTTGCATTTCTGACACCTCCCACTTGAATTGGCTTCTGGTCTCTCCTGGCCTGAGAATCCCAGTCACGTGACCCATCCCAGTGCACACTCTCGGCTCTCTTTACGGCCAGGCCACACTCCTCCTTGCCTTGACATTTAGGGCCTGTCATTTCTTTTCCTCTTCTGCTCCAATAAATCAGGACCAGTCAATCAACATTCACTGCCCCCTGGGTGGTGTTTAGGGAAGCTGATGCTGGGCTGAGGAGGCTTTTCTGTGTGCACGGGGGTTGAAAGCAAGCATTGCCTTTCTGCTCCCATCCTGTGGCTTAGCGACAGTGAGAATGAAACCCTGGGCAGGAGCCCAGGCTCCATGTTCAGGTGTTTTGTCTGACTTGTACAAAGCTGAGTGCTCAACCCAGACAAAGCAACAATGGCCTGCTCCTGGGTGCTGCCTTGTTTATAGGTCAGACCTGTGCCACTGGTTTAGCTCGTTCACCTGAGAAAGTCTGGTGTGGAATGGAATGATCAGCAGCCTGAAGACACAGAGGCTGTGCCAGTTCTGGCCCTCCCTGCCTCCCATACCACATGCTGGAACGTGGGTTTAATCCAGCCTAGAAGCAAAGGGAAGCAAACCTCTTGAGTGCCTAGTGGCGGGTGTTAAGTAATGCCCTTCAAGGGCATGAATGTATGGGAGGATAAAGTCATCAGAAAGAGAGAAAGCAGAAAGCAAGGGAAGATAGGAAATGGGAGAGATCAAAATGAGAAAAGAGGAAAATGAATACACAAAGCGATCATTAGGCAGAGGAATAGCTGGCTGCCACTTACAACTCTTTGAGTGGCACTGATGCCATTTGTTATCCATCCCTGTTTCAAAGTGGAGTCAGGAGCTAGTGGATGCATGTGCTCTCTCCAGAGAAGACACACAGCTCAGATTTTCAAACCATGTTGCCTCCCATGGTTCCCTATATTAGAATTCAGCACAACTCTACTTGCTCAACTGTGAGAGGTCTTAACCAAAGGGTTTGAAGATGCTTTATAAAAAATAAATAACCTCTGCAAAGGTAAGATGATATATTTTTCCTCCTGTTCACCACAAGACTTGAATACACACTATCAGCACAACCCCCAAAGGTAATTTTAAGATGCAGGTTTAGAAGATTCTTTCCAAAAGAGACCATGACAGGTAGGCTGATCATAATATCTGGCACATAGTAGGTGTTCAATAAATGTCTGAAATTGAGTTAGTGAATGATTGAATATGAGAGACAGATTAAGAAGAATATTTTAACAAGAAGATACTTGAGTAGTTAACACTGATATTTTTTCAGAACATCTGATTGTTTCTGTTCTGGGCCTCATGGATTTAAGGATGAGTGAGCTTTCTAAGTGCACATTCACTGGCTGGCCTGAGATCACACATACATGCTCCAGGGTGCTAAGTGCAAGGAAGATTTGGACAATGCACAGTAATGGCAGAGGTTGAACCTGGCCAGGAGATTCTGGAGAGGTCTCTAGAAAAGCAGGTTCCAAAGCTGCTGAGGTCTCACCAAGCAGACCAGGCCCTGGAAGACAAACATAAAGATAGCAAAGGTATGAAACAGCCTATTGTGTCAGAGAGGTGCAATAGAATGGCTTGGTCAAATCAGAGAAGAGTGTGTGTGGGGGGGTGAGTGTTGGAGGGTGGGGCAACCACTGGCCTTTTTGGTCACCATAGGTTTTTCAGTGCCTTCTATGTGACCAAACACTGGCATTCGTAGGTTCACTTATTTAGCTCCTCCAGGGAAGCTGAAATCCCATGTATAAGCTATTGCCTTGTCATCTGGGAGGGTGTGTGTATACCCATGTCTCCCTAAGGACTCATGGTTTATGGTAGAGGAGAATGATCTTTTATTTTCAAATCGCCTCATGGTGCTTATCTGGTTTCTAGTCTGTATTTCACTCTGCTGTGAACTACCTTGGGGCAAAACCTTCCTGCTTTTTGAGCACAGTGAGCACAAAAGAGTTTTACTGAACGGATGGATGCATGGGTAGACAATGGCCGGACAAGACAGGTGGCTGTTCAGAATCCTATGAAAGCCCTTAAGCTCTGCTGTTCTCTCCTAAGACAGGAAAATTCATGTTTTTAATCATGAGCGCTCTTTGTTTATTACTAGCATTGCAAGTTCTCCCCCGAGGCGCAGAGCCCAGAAGAAATCATCATGGAATGAAAAGAGTCAAGGTTGGAGCCCCCAGAGAACTTAGCAAGAATGCCAAGTAAGGGCTGTATAGGAGGGTGGCCAGCACAGGCCCTGAGGCCTGGGAGGAAGGGGAAGGGCTTGGAGGCTTTGCAGACCCTCAGACTCTTAGGCCCCCAGCAGTACCCGCAGACACAAGTCCCAGTGCTGGAATATTGTGCACACATCTGCTGCAGAATACCTTGGGAGCCAAAGGATTTGATGAAGCTCAAATCAGAGTAGATAGAAGGCAATTATGTTTTTGCATCCTCGGCTCCTGCCACCCTGCAGCTCCCTGAGGATGCACTTGTGGCATTTGGGTGTTTTTCTCACAAAGGCCTGGAGAGAGAAAAATAGCCACTCACCATCTAATAAATTATCCATCATGTGACCACTTCTGCCGGCCTTGTTCTGACACTTCTCCCCTTCTGATTGTAGACAATAATTACACTCTAATTGCTAAGATAATCTTGCTTATGGAGCTACAGCAGCAATGAAAAGCTGTCATTTGTTATGGCTCGTCCTGAATGTTGATTTAAGCAGAATTACACCTCAGTTCAATCTGAAGAGCAACCCCCACTCAAATGAGGCACGGTCTTTGGAAACCTGGAACTGGGCGCCACAGCATGTTTCTAGCTTCTCTCCTGGCCTAAGGGCTATACCTGACTTGAGAGAGGTCACTCATCAGCCCCTCCACAAACAGGGCCCTGCAGTGGGATGGATCCCTTTGTGTCGGAGGGCCACCCACCCGCAGTGGATAGAGAATGACTGCAGGAAGGCAGAGGGTGCACCTAATGCCCCCAACCAACAAGTGGATTTCCCTGCAATTCACATCGGCCTTTGACCCTGTGCCATTATCTCTTTTCTCAAAGCACATAACTGAATGGCAGAAAAATATCACAAACCATTAACGTGATCAGTGTTTATTGGACACCCCATATTCACATTGTTTGGTGCTGGATGCGTACAGCCTGTGAAGCTTATTTTCCTGCAACATGAGCACAGAGTCTGTGTGGAAGGCACAGGGCACATATGGAAATCTGCGGCAGTAGCATCGGACACGCTAACGAGCATCAATTTTCAGATGGGGTAAAAGGGAGGAAGAGCTTGAGAGAAATGCCTGAGTGTGAGCTGCAGGGCAGGCTTGGCAATATAGGTCACTTGGTTGAATACTTCATTTATCTAATTCTATTTATTGAGGACCCACTAAGTGACAAGTATGGAACAAGGCACCAAGAATTTTAAAAATAATGGACCATTGCCCAGAGATTTTGAAGAGCTCACATTCTGCTGAGAATTGAAGTGTGAATATACTATATAAATAATTGGAATACAATATCCATGGAGAGTAGGGAGTATTAGGAAAGCATCAAAGAAAGGCTGATGGATTCAGCCAGAGGGGATGGGAGCTAGCTTTGAATTAGGCCTGGAAAGGTTGGTGAACTTTTGAAAGGTTGGCTGCAGGCATTTTTGGCCTGGAAGCTGGAAGGGCATGGAGTAGTTAAAGTAATGTGAAGTAGTTCTGTGCGACCAAAGAGCATCTGGGGCAAGGCGTAGTGAGGGGATGCAGCTGGAGAGAGGCTGAGAATAGCTAGTTCTGAGAGCTTTTGAGTGTCCTGTGAAGGATGTGGGCTTTACATAACCAGCTCTAGGTAGACAGAGGACGTACACAGCCTCACTCTGGCCAGTGTGGAGGGGACTGGATGGAAGGAGGGAAGGCCAGGGCTAGCAAGGCCTGCAGGAAAGAGATGCATGGGAGATGGAGTTCATTCGGCTCTTATGTTGTTTTTCTCTCTTCAATGCCTTTCGGGTACCCCTACACACAGTTGTCTTATAATTCTCCTAATTTTCTTATTCTGGAAGCCTTTCCATATATTTCTCTTGGGCTCTGAGTTCTATTCTCTATTTCTGTAATGTTAGGCTGCATGATCAGTTTTGTCTTTGGTTGGGGATGAGACACACCAGGGTGCACACTCAAGTTAGTGGAAGTTTCCTACCACAGGCTGGACTCAATCTGAAGTCCCTTTTTATGGTTGAAACAACTCTTTTCAAGTTGGTAGATTCTCACCTGAAGCAGAAGTTATTTGCTTAAGGATCTGGACCCCTTTCTACATACTCCATCAGGGGTGTTAATCATTCAGGGGTCAAAAGTCAGCTGGCCTATAAACACAAATTTACTGGACACCTGCTGTTTACACATCACACTGCTATTCCAGGTTGTGTTCAAGAAAGAGTCTAGACTCTGAGTCTCTGCAAAAGTCCTTTTAATCCCTTCCACTGCCAACATTGCTTGCTGCTGGCTTGGGACAGCCTGCCTATGTGCTGTTGCAAAATGAATCTCTCTTAAAACACTCACAAAACCTGACACATGTCAGTCAGTTGGACTCCCAGCACCTGCCAATGGACACAGAAACAAGAGAAGGGCTGGTTTCTGGACTGCCTTCCAGATAATAAATCTAGCCATATGGAGGAAGCAGCCTCTCCTTTGGAGATGGTAAATCAATTTTCCTAAAAACAAACAAATCTGCATTTCTCTGAGCCTGTTTTTCCCATTTCCCAAAGTTAACATATTCTGGATAATAAAACAAAAGGAAAATACTAGGTTGATGCAGCACCTCCTATGTATGTGATTATCTGTAAAATATCATACTGGGTACTATAGGCTCATAAAGAAACCAAGGCTTGGCCTCTGACCTCATGGACCTTATATTCTACTTGGAGATGTACAGAGCTGGATTAATACATTTAGGGGCTCCAACCTGAAATGATTATAGTCCTTCCCACCCATATACAGATACTTAAAAAAAAAACCTAGAATTCATGTGTAAGCAAAATTTCTGCATGTTCTTATTGTAAAACTCTGGTTAAGTTAATTGAATTGACGATAAGCTTTTCTCGTGCTCTGGTATCCTTGTTTTGTTGGTGTTCTAAGCATGGGCTTCATCTACGTACTAGTAACCTGGATGGGCCATAACTATGCACATCAGAAGCTGTAAAACTGTATATACCAGACAATATTACAAGGAGAAAAGTACATGGTGAGTCCCTGTGTCATTCAGGGTTCTCCAGAAAAACAGAACCAAGAGGAGAGGGGTGGGTGTGTGTGTGTGTGTGTGCATGCGTGTGTGTGTTGAGAAAGAGGGAGAGAGAGTTTTATTTCAAGGAATTCACTTAAGTGATTGTGGGGGTGGCTTGAAAGTCTAAAATTTGTAGTGATGGATAGCAGGCTGGAAACTCAGGCAGAGGTGAAGGTACACTCCACAGGCAGGATTTCTTCTTCCCCAGGGAAACCTCAGTTCTGTTCCTAAGGCTTTTCACTGATTGAATGAGGTCCACCCATACTAGTGACAATAATCTCCTTCACTTAAAGTCAAGTGATTGTAGATGTTAATCATATCTACAAAATATTGCCATAGCAACACCTAGATAAGTGTTTGATTAACTGGCTACAGCCTACCCATGTTGACACATAAAACAGACCGTCACAGTCCCCAGTAAAGGTGTAGCCATGAGCACTGTGGATGGTCAGAGATGGGAATCTGAGGATGTGATAGCTGGAAGGGAATTTAGAGATCACCAAATTTAATCTTCATGCACAGGGAAAGTGCCTGCCGTGCTTGGTTTGTATGAAGTATTGAAAACAGGTTTTCCCAATCCAGTAGCATGTTTTACGTGAGGGATTCAAGTGGACTTTCACAGAGGCACGGGGTCTGGATTCTTTCTTGATCAGGGCATGGTGAATCAGAATGTACATAGCAGATGTCCAAATAATATTTTTTAATTAGATCACATTGGATCTAGGCCTGAGGCTTAGTCCTATCCTTTGAGGACAGGATTCAAGACTATCGTTTCACTGATATATATCCCTAGGGCCTAGCCTAGTCTTGGTACGTAATAGGTGCTCAAAAGCATTGGTGGAATTCATTAATAGAATGAATGCATGGAATTCAGGCCAGTTGGATGTGCACTATCCTGATTCTATCATAGGAATGTAGACAGAGAAAGGAATTATTCTAAGCATGAATCTGAGTTTCCTCATCTGTCGGATGGAAATGCTAATATATTACCTTTCTAACAGGTGTATCCAAAGGAGTATCTGAGCAAATACATCTAATTATCACAGCGCTTGGCATATAGTAGATGCTCAATAATCAGTAGTGATTACTATGACAATATTTCTTTTTTTTTTAAAACTCTTTTTTTTCATTATGCTTTAAGTTCTGGGGTACATGTGCAGAATGCAGTTTTGTTACATAGTTATGCACATGCCATGATGGTTTGCTGCACCCATCAACCTGTCACCTACATTAGGTATTTCTCCTAATGTTATCCCTCCCCTAGCCCCCCACCCCCCAACAGGCCCCAGTGTGTGATGTTCCCCTCCCTATGTCCATGTGTTCTCATTGTTCAACTCCCACTTATGGGTAAGAACATGCGGTGTTTGTTTTTTTTTTTGTTCTTGTGCTAGTTTGCTGAAAATGATGGTTTCCAGCTTCATCCATGTCCCTGAAAAGGACATGAACTCATCCTCCTTTATGGCTGCATGGTATTCCATGGTGTATCTGTGCCACATTTTCTTTATTCAGTCTATTATTGATGGACATTTGGGTTGGTTCCAAGTCTTTGCTATTGTGAATAGTGCTGCAATAAACATACGTGTGCATGTCTTTATAGTAGAATGATTTATAATCCTTTGAGTATATGCCCAGTAATGGGACTGCTGGGTCAAATGGCATTTCCAGTTCTAGATCCTTAAGGAATCGCCACACTGTCTTCCACAATGGTTGAACTACTTTACACTCCCACCCACAGTGTAAAAGCGTTCCTATTTCTCCACATCCTCTCCAGCATCTGTTGTGTACTGACTTTTTGAGGATCGCCATTCTAACTGACGTGAGATGGTATCTCACTGTGGTTTTGATTTGTATTTCTCTAATGACCAGTGATGATGAGCATTTTTTCATATGTCTGTTGGCTGCATAAATGTCTTTTTTTGAGAAGTGACTATAACAATATTTCACACAATACAACTCTTGTAGATGCTGGAGGTGCCATGCTCAGAGCACCTTTACCAGCCATGCACCCATCCTCCAGCTCTGGATACTGTCAACAGCTCACAGCTGCCCACTTTTCCAGAGAATGGCTCTCTACTGAAATAAGAGATGTGTTCACTAGGAGGTTATGGGTTCCTGTCCCCAGGGGGATAGCCCACAGCCAATGACTGATCCACACAGAAAGACAAAGGGTTGGCCAACCCCATAGCTCAAGGTGATCAGGCTGCAGCCAGTCTCCAGCTGAGCTCTCCTCTAGCTTTTCTCCCTGCCTATTATGCTCCTCTCACTCCCTTTCTCCTGAGAGCATGACCTCAGTAAATCACTTGACCAAGAGTCATTGTCTTAGACTCTGCTTCTAGGGAACCTAACAAGACACTGTTACTTGGAGACAGCCGCCAACTTTTTGCCTGTGCAATAATGCCATTTTCTGGTTGTGATTCTGATATTCAGACCCCTGAGTGAGTCTCTGCCACGAAATGTTCTTAGCTAGAAGAAGAACATGGCCTTGCAACTGCAGCTGGCAGCTGGCACTTGGCTCATCCACAGCTAACCTCCTCAATCAGCGAGGCTGGTGTACTCATCTTCTTTGTGTTACATTTTGCCTAATTCTGCCTGCCCGAGTCAATTCAATCAGCCTAGCTTGTTCCATAAACCAAATAATCACAAGTTCAACCACCAAGGCTTGAATTTCAGGGAAAACATTCACTCACTCACTCATTCATTCATTCCTCCAACAGTTACGGAGTGTTGTCCACAAAGCCACGTACTGGAGATGTAGCTACTAACATAGATAAGACATGCCCTCTGGGAACTCACAGTCTGGAGGGAGAAATGGACAAATAAATAGGCAACTGCAAAGGCGTCTGTGATCCATTCTGTAATATGATGCTATGAGAACACAGAGGAGATGAGCCAGGATGGAGGTCAAATGGATTGGTCTTCATTGCGGTTGACCTAAACAGAAATAAATAGAATAGATATCCCTTAGCACACTGCAAACCAAAGTGGTTACGTCAAAGAAGAAGGTGTCACATGTACAAAGATGTGTAGTTTTAAGCACAAAGAATGGTTGCCTAGTGATGGACAGAATAAAGAGATATAAATGCAAAAGGACTCTGCCTTCTGTGTTATTACTGCTGTAGCTTTTCTCCCACTCACTCACTCACTTCCTGGGACTCAAAGAAAGTGCAGCTGAATTAGATGGTTTTTAGCTGGGGACTGGCTAGATCAGTGGAAATCACAACTGAGTTCTCCCACTGCCTTTCTATCCAACAGCACTGTGGATCACCCGCAGACAAGGTCAGGATGCAGTGGTCTCACTGCACGGCTGCCTTATTATTGCTTATTCCTCCTGTGCCATTCATCAATCTACTCTGGCAAGACATGCAGAGGTTATAGCCTAATTATGAGGTTAGGAATGTTAATTGTTCTATGTTGACATTAGTGTAGCTGGTGCTAATGGGAAACTAATTACTAATCTGTGCCTTTACGGCCATTTTCATTGCCCTCTTGTGGTTTTGTAGTTATTTGGCTATAGATGGTAATGACTTAATATGTGGCTGCTGTTATTGCTTTGACTGTACAATTGGGAGAGTAGGAAAAGAGGAGGTGTTTTGGAGAAGTTGGAGCCTTTTAAATACTTTTACTTTTCTTAAGGTTTTTTTTTTTTTCTTTGCAAGGGGTTTCCTTGGGCAGTAAGAATGTGAAATTCTAAAAATACCAGTGTTTTGGTGTTTCGAGGACCCCAAGATCTTACTCATAAGTCAGCTGTTGTTGATCATGTGCTGGACTCTGAAAGATGAAGAGTGCTCCCGGTCTCTCTGAATGCCACCTCCCACCCACTTTCCTGAGCTGTAGGCCCAGAGGTCAATCTAGATCTCTCCATGTCACTTATTCTCCAGTGCCCCACGTCCAGTCACTCTCGAAGCCCATTGATTGTATCCTGAGCATCTCCCTTCTGTTGCCTCCTCTCTGGTGCTGATCACGGCTCTGCTTATCTATCTTTTCCTTGGACCACTGATTGGCAACCACCAACTTACCAGTCTCTGCACCTCTATTTTCAGACTCTATTTTTGGTTCCTGGTTTAAAATCCTCCAATGGCTCTTCTTTGACTACAAAATAAAATACAAACTCCTTTTCAAGACACTTCAAGAGCTAACCCTTGCCCACCTTTTTAACTTCTTCTTCCACATTTCCTTCTCATTTCCAATAGCCCCATGTAGCACTCATTATTTGTTCTTCTCCAGGTACATCATGCTATCTCCTCCTGCCTCCATGCTGGCGCATATGCTGCCCTTCCTCCCTGGAATGCCCTCATCTTCCAGAGGCTGCTCCATTTGAGAGCCTTCCCTGATTCATCCAGGCAAATTAACAGATAATAACTGTTTTATCTACTAAATATTAAACTCTCTCAAGGCAGGGTCTATATTTGCTTTATTTACCACTGTGGTCACAATCCTGTTATATCACCTGGCCTATGTAGAGTACACACTAAATATTCAACATAAGGAACTGAAAAAGTCTGTATTATGGTTTGGATATAGTTTATTTGTTCCCACCAAACTCATGTTGAACTTTGACCCCCATTGTGGTGGTGGTGGGAGGTGGGGCCTAATGGGAGGTGTTTGGGTCACAGGGGCAGATCCCTCATGAATGGCTTGTCATGGTTCTCACCAAGTGACTGAGTTCCTGCTCTGGGGAGGCTAGACTAGTTCTTGTGAGAGTGGATTTATTTCCAAAAGAGTGCGTTGGTATAAAACCCAGAGTCCCTTAGGTTTTGCCTCTCTTCACAAGTATTCGCTTCCCCTGTGACCTTCTCTGCCATGTTTTTCAACCCAGCACGTGGTTCTCACCAGATGCTGAGCAGATGTTGGCACCATGCTTCTCGTACTTCCCAGACTGCAGAGCTGTGAGCTAAATAAACCTCTTTTCTTTATAAATTACCTAGGCTTAGGTATTCTATTATAGCAGCATTGAACAGACTTAGGAAAGTCCTCAAGGCAAGACATACTTTTGATATCTACTTAGACACACAGATTAAAAGGTTACATAACCACATCTCTTTCTAGAGATAGGTTGCAAATGAATGTTTTCATGCATAACATTTCAAGTAACACATTGAAACCTCATCAATTCAGACTAATGGGAGCAGGAAAGAAAAAAGTTCTTTTAAATTTGTGGTATATTTCAATTTCAGGCTTTTTACCTCAGGCCAGTTTATTTCAATATCTACCAAGCACCTACCATGTGCTAGGTATGGTCCTGGACACAACACTGGCTATATGAACATAAATATGACACGGTTCCTGACTTGGAGATGCCTAAAGCCCTTTGATAAATGCCTTTCTGTAGACTTAATACACCTATATTCACTCTAAATATAACTTGTTTCTTTAAATCATATGGTCATCTCTGCCTGGTTTTGTCTGGAACTTTCCTTCCTGCCTTGCCTATTTGGCTAATTATTACTTGCCTTTCCCACATCAAAACCTTCTCTGGCTAAGACCACACCTCTCCTTCTCTTCCTCCTTTCCTTCCCCAGAATCATTCTCTCTGTTCCTCTTCTGTTTCCCCAGGGCCTTCCCTGTAGTCCTGTCCACTGCACCATCCTCACTCCTTTCCCGCTATTCTGTGTGTTCCTTCAGGGCAGTGACCATCATTTTATTCTGTCTTTCTAGCACAGTGGCTGACACATGGGAGATGCTTAATGATTTTTGATGTTGTTACAATGAATGAATAAATAAATGAAGCTAGAATTTTTAACTGGAGATCCTGCAAGCCTCTTTTTAATGAATTGTTTTGTAATTGGGAACACTCACTCTTAGAGACCTAGGTCCCCAAAGTTCCTCAGTTTTCTCCCCTAGTCAACTAAGTTAACATCTCTTAGAGTATCTTATTACCTCAGGATTTTATCAGATTCAGCCATAGGAAATTGCTATGTTTTGTGCATCAAAAACAGCTGAATATCAGCACATCATTCAGATGGTTCAAACTAATACTTAACAAATCTGCTCAATACTAATGGTGCCAAGGTAAACATCAAAGTGTCCATATTCAAATGTTCTAGGTTCCAAATGAGAAGACTGGTTTCCTTACCTCATTCTGGGTCTCCCTGGCTTATGTTTCCAAAGCTATTCAGAATGATCTGCTAAGCCTGTTGCTTCTTTCCGCTTTCCTGACTGGGTCCACAAATGCTTAGAGAGCTGTGCAGAAATCATTCTTTTTAGAGTCACTTATGAAAGGTTAGCACTTACAGCCAGTTAGCAAAAGCCCAGTACAAAGCAAATGTATAATAATTGTCTTTGTATACCAAGTGGCACAATAACTGTTATTCATGCCATAGAGAGAATATCCAGTTGTTGGATGGAAGGGCTTGGGAGATGGTAGTTTGGTGAGGTCCCAATCTTTCTGGAAAGACAGCCACATTGCTTGTCCTTGGGACTTTAACTCTGCAGCCCTGCTCTTGTCCTATGTGGCCAACCTTCCCCACACCTCACCCCAGGACCAAGCTTTTGTGAGCTTCACAGCCTTTGCTCCATTTCCAAAGCAAGTGGTGCCACTGACTCTCAGCCTCTTGCCTCATTTCCTGTCTATGTCACTTTCACCTCTTAAATCTCACAACCAATATTTCTCCACAGGAATCACCCTAGACTTCTCTCCTTCATGGAGCCTGCATTTTCTCTGGTCACTCAAAATACCATTTCAGGATGTGTTGACAGATCACTTGGGACCCAACCCCCAGCACTACTTTTACTTGGCTGATGTTGTCCGGTGCCCCTCTCTGTTCTTTACCAGCCCCAGAGACAATGATTGACAGCTATCTGATCCAAAGGGGCAGGAAGAGGGATGAGAACATAGGCCTGCCTCCCAAAGGATCTTCCTTTTGCCATCGGTCAGGTTCAAATGTCATATAACATTGGTCAAAACTCAGCCTCCACTCACCTCCCTCCTCACACCCCATATTCCCCAGGCTGACCTGGAAAGGCGGAGGAAAAGAAGGCAGAAGGGAGAGGCGAAGCCCAAGCACCTGAGTATTTTTCTCAGGCAAGACTCAGGACTGCTCTGGACATTCAGAAGCTGAGTGTCCAAGTGTGCTGTGTAGTTCAAGGCCACCACCACTGCAGAGGCCAAGGACACCTTAGTAGGAGCTCTAACCTGGCTCCCAGGGAGAGCTGCTTCCAGATTTGCCCTGTAGGCAAATTCACTCTTTTCACCCTCTAAACAAATAAGTCCTTGCTCCCATTTCCCATGATTTAGTCTTCAGTTTAAGTCTTTGGTCTCGTCTGGTCTATCAGCTCCCATCTCTCTCCCAGTCTTTTTCTTTATTCTGTGACATCTGTTGAATAAGGCACATAGGGTTTGTAGTCACTGTACTGTTCCTTGTGATTGTGAGGTAACAGGCTAATATTATCACTTTCTCAGAAAGTCTTCAAAATTATCATGTGGAGGTGATGCATTCATCTGCTGGGAGGTGTCTGTGTGGTCAGATAAGATGATGGCTACATTCCATTCCAATCCTGTCATTCAATCGTTCTCCCTTAGTGGGCAGCTCCAGGGAGCCACCAAGGGACGTGATAGTCCAAAGCATTCCGCTAAAACGGAATTCCAAACATGGTACCCACAACTTGGGTTTCTAATCTTCCATTTGTACATCTGCATGTAGTCTGTCTCTGATTTAGGGTTTAGGTTCCTCTGTATTTTTCTTTTTTTCTTCTCCTGCCCTTTGAGAGTTTAATAAAAGTCAGAGGCATCTTGTAAATTGTGTCTCAAGAATCATTATCAAAGACACCTCTTGCGCAATAATATATAGTACAAACACTAATGTGTGTGGCTTTATCAGCTAGATTGCATGAACGTAAAACAGCTCCCACACTTTTTAGCTGGAAAGGTATTTAACATCTCCGTGCCTCTGTTTATTTGCCTGTAAAATATGAATTATAATAGGATGTACCATAGTGTTCACCGTGAAGATTAAGTGACTTAATGTATACAAGCACTTACAACAGTCTTTGGCAAATAGATGACAACATATATATTATCCGTAATAATATGGTGGAAATATTTATTCTCTCTCTTGAGTGTTCCTCGGCAGTTTAGAACTCAGGGATCCCCTCGAAGATGCCCCCGGATCTTCCGAAGTCTCTGGGCTTCTGAGAATCGCTAGTTTAGCAGAAAGAGTCCCAGACAAGAGGTCAGAAGACCTGGGAATGTTCACAGCCCCACATACACCACTAAGAGCCGACCACGGGCCAATCCTCTTACTAGATTTTTCTGTCAGTTTACGAATTCTTCACCAGTTATGCAAGGTGGCTATCTTTTCCCCATTTCACAGACAAAATTAATTCAGAAGTGTCTAATGACGTAGTTAATGCTAGAAGCAGAAAACACGGGTCTGTCTGGAGCCACTATTAAGATCCCCCTTTAAAATCCCGCCACAAGACTCTGAGAGTCAATCTCTCTTATTTCTGTCGGCGTCAAACAGGAATATCACCACCCTGCCCACCTCGCAGGGTGAGATTCCAACTAGAAAGTGTTTATGCAAGTCCGCCGTGGGTCGCGAAACGGCTGCTGGCGTTGGAACAGAGATGCCAAACACAGTAAACGTCAAGGAGAAGCGAGGCAGCTGGAGCCGAGCCGAGCCGAGATTTGGGATCCCTCCTCCAGGCCCGAGGCCGAGGTCGGGCGCGCGGCTGAGTGGCAGGCGCATTAGCCAATAGAGCTGCAGGAGGTGGCGGGGGCGGGGCTGCCCTTTGGCCGCGCTCGGCCTTGTGGGAGAGCTAGCGGCCGCAGGCTTGTGTAGGCCGGTCTCGGCGCTGCGGATGGTCAACAGAGAGCCGCGGCCTGTGGGGCGTTGTCTAATCTCAGAGCGCTGAGGGCTGGCACCGGGAATCCTGGCGTTAGGCCAAGGGGCCTGGCGAAAGCCCGTTAATGAGAACTGCAGGCTGTTGGTGAAGTCACGACGTAGTGCCAGTGGCCTCGTCCCCCTCTAGGCGCAAGGGATCCTCACAGGCTGTGGAATCCGGGCGTCGGGACCCGCGGGGACCTGGGCCTTCTGCTTCCGCTCTCATTCCTGAATGTTAAAGGGGCAGGGCCGGACTGGGAACAAGGGAAGGCTGGAGAAATAGCAGGGCCGGATTTTCCTCCCGATAACAGACATTTGCAGGCCTCCTAGAAGGAAAAGTATAGAAACAGTGATATTGGGGAAAGAACGATGTGGCGGTTCCCATGTCTTGATGGGATCCCCTTTGCCCTTGAGCCACCGTCGTCTCTCACCTGCTTTATCGTCGTGATCTTCTGACTAGATTGCTGCCAAATGCTGCTGATCACCACATCCCCCAACTTAAATACCTTTCCATAGTTTCCCGTTGCCCTCAAGACAAAGGCCTGACACTGAACTGAACTCTCCAGGCAGTGGAGGTTCTGGCTTCCTGATGACGGTTCCAGCCCCATTTCTGACCACTTTCCACTCCCTTTCCCCCAGTCAGGGGTTTATGAGATTAATAAATGGATGAACAAGTTATTTCTAGAAATATCAGCAATATTATCAGAGTAAAAGGAACCATTATAATCTGACGATTAAAAGCTATTGTGCTCAGGTATCACTTCAGATGGGGAAGTCAACTGTCGTGGAATCCAGGGAACCTGAATTCTTACGTTTGCTTAGCTACTAGATTTTTCGCATAATCTGCCACATGTTGCATCCAGTCTCTGTTCCTTCATTTATAAAATAGGGCCAGTGAAGGAATGTTTTCTATACTCATATCTTTATAAGCTACTTCAAAGATAAATCCAACAGAACAGGGAGAAGCACTTTACACATTCAAAGTATTACTAATATATAATAAGATACACGCCATGTACACACCATGAATTACCTTTAAAATCCTTTTCTGGGACACATAGAACTTGCACTTTATATATCCTATAAGACAGTGGTTCCCAACCTTTTTGACACCAGGGACTGGTTTTGTGGAAGACAGTTTTTCCCACAGACCAGGGTGGAGGTGGGGAGAACGTTTTGGGGATGATTCAAGCACATTATATTTATTGTGCACTTTATTATTACATTGCAATATATAGTGAAATAATTATACAGTGCACCATAATGAAGAATCAGTGGGAGCCCTGAGCTTGTTTTCCTGCAGCTACACGGTCCCAACTTGGGGTGATGGGAGGCAGTGAGAGATCATCAGGCATTATATTCTCCTAAAGACCGCCCAACCTAGATCCCTGGCAGGTGCAGTTCACAACAGGGTTTGCACTCCTATGAGCGTCTAATGCTGCTGCTGATCTGTTGGGAGGCAGAGCTTAGGCGGCAATGCAAGCAACGGGGAGCGGCTGTAAATACAGATGAAGCTTCACTTGCTTGCCTGCTGCTCACCTCCTGTTGTGCGGCTCAGTTCCTAATAGGCCATGGACTAGTACCCATAGGTGGCCTGAGGATTGGGATCCCCTGATATATGATACCCGAGGTTTATCTTTATATCAGGCATGCATTTAAAACACCCCATAGGTTTCTTTTCTTATGGCTGCATTTGAGGAGCAGCCTGGTTTATAAGCCTTGTCTACTTCTGCTCACCACCTGTCCTTAATAAAGGGAGCCACGGGGGCCTAGAGAGAAGATGTAGAAGAAGGTATCAGCCAAGGAACCCAGCTTGCATGAGGTAAAGATGGCTTTGACTTGAAACTTTAAGAATTAATGGCCACAGGCCGGGCGCGGTGGCTCAAGCCTGTAATCCCAGCACTTTGGGAGGCCGAGACGGGTGGATCACGAGGTCAGGAGATCGAGACCATCCTGGCTAACCCGGTGAAACCCCGTCTCTACTAATAATACAAAAATTAGCTGGGTGTGGTGGCACGTGCCTGTAATCCCAGCTACTCGGGAGGCTGAGGCAGGAGAATCGCTTGAACGTGGGAGTCAGAGGTTGCAGCGAGCCAAGATTGTGCCACGTACTCCAGCCTGGTGACAGAGCGAGACTGTCTAAAAAAAAAAAAAAAAGAAAAGAAAAGGAAAGAAAAAAGAAAAGGCAAATCTGAAATGCCTTCTTTCATCTTACCCCTAAACCTAATACCTCCCCCAGAATCCCAACTTGAAGAGATTTCTCTGGAGACTGAGAGGTATTTTTACTTTATGAGGATTACCAGGGCAGTAAAAGCTCGGGCAGGACACATACATGTTATGAAGTCCATCTGTCTGTCTAAGAAGAGCTGCATTGAAACCACCTCAACTTGTGATTCCAGTTTCCTTTTGCATTATGGATATGCTGAAGAGCTGCCTCAAACTTAGAGATGATATGAACATGATGGCACTCTCTGGGAAAAGGCCTAGGAATTTAAAGTTTGATAATACGGTATTGTGTGTGTTACTCTGTAACTGACTTTTTTTTTTCCCACTTAATAATCTATGTGGATATCTTTCTAGGTTCATGCATATAGATCTAACTCATTCTTTTTTATAGCTGCATGATATTGCATGATAGATATTTCCTATGCTTTCTTCAGACATTTCTTATTGCTAGAAATGCAGATTGTTTCCTACCAGATTTTTTTTTAACTATGGGGTATCATGTTGTAATAAACATGCTTGGACATATTATACTATGTACTAGGTCATGCTTTTCTTTTTTCTTAGGATGGAATCACCAAAAAGTGTAATCGTTAGGTCACTAGGTGTGTACATTGGTAATTTTAGAAAATATTGCCAGAGAGATTGAAACAATTCACTACTGCTTTCCTCCAGCTTCTCCTGGGCATGCCACATACACTGTGGGAAGGCGGAAGGCTGACCTAGAACACCTTCAAGTGGATGCTACAGTGAGTATGACAAGACTATGATTCCTGGTTTCTGAAGTGTTTTGGATTTTATGGGTCAGCTAAAACCTCATTTAATAACATGCTGTCTGCCCTTTGCTTAACATAACTGTATCCATGATGTGGCTGAATTAACCACCTACCACTGCACAGCCATAAGTATCAATCCACCCTTTTTCCCTAGTTCTAATTTTGTATGATAACCTGCTTGAGGGAGAGAGGGAGTGGGCGGGAGTAGACGCTGAAAAACTGCAGGGGTAGGAAAAGGAACTGTGGGAGGGGAATTCATGTACACTGAACCCAAAGACCCTAGGAGGGATGACAGGCAGCAGGATAGAATCTATTTCCTTATTTTCATGTTCTCTCTCTGCTCAGAGACAATTTCAGCATAATAGCTGTTGACTTTTGTAACACCCTTCTGTAATCTTTTGCGAATCCAATAGACTCTGTGTTGTCACGCTTCATCAGCTGTGTTATAATTCCCAATAACTAGCACACAACTGATGTCCTATCCCTGAAAAGCTGGCCCAAAATAAATGGCTTCTGGGGGCTTAATGATAAATCAGAGGCGTTCTGAATGGATTCTGAAAGTATTCTAAGTCAGGACAAATCCTCGCTGGAATCCAATTTGGCTGTTTCATTACCAGTTCTATCTCCCGCATGCAAAAAGATGATAAACAACATTGTAAAGATGTAGATGAGATTGGCTTTTGTGACCTAATGTTTCTGGTGAAGAGAGAAGTACATGTTGTTAAAACAGGAAAAATGCACAAAACCCACTGGCAACAGAATATTATAGCCTTCATTTTTGAACAGGAATCCTTTGTGATTTTATTACCTCGGAAACAAAGACCTAGCTGCTTTTGCATTTTGTAGTGGTTTAATTAACCTTTAAGTGTGCACAGAGAGCTGATACACCTACTCTACAAAGTAAAAGTCACATGAGAAAAAAGTATTAAGTTGCCAGATATTTCTTACTGACCCAGACCAAGATTCTGTAGGGGTATGTATCATAGTAGTGAGAGCACAGTTTCCAGGATCAGGCTCTGCAGGATTCCAGCAAGTGAGTTAACCTCTCTGTGCCTCAGTTTCTTCATTGGGAAAACAGACTAATAGTAATTTGGACGTTATTTTTTTTTAAGTGGCACTAAGAGCAACCAACAGATAACAAAATGAGAGAGGGTGTATGGACAAAGAGGGAAAGATTAAGAAATAAATCTACCCATAGCGAGCATTAAGAACTGTTAGGATTTGGATATCATTTTAGTGGAATGAATGTCTATGTGGGATGCTGGAATTTACAGAATAGTGTAGTCTTTCTATTTATGGTTTTTGGAGTTGGACAGACCTTGGTTCGAATCCTTCCTCTGCCATTTAGTAGCTGTGTGGCCTCAGTTTCTTCATTTACCTTATGATAATGAAATGGAGGACTGTATGTCACACAGTACATACCCAGTACATTGCAAGGGTGCAAGGCATGGCAGTTATGACTATTATTGCGTTTAAACTGTTTTGACTGCTATATATTGACCCCTGTATCAGTTTCCTATTGCTTGTGTAACAAATTGCCACAATCTTAATGCCTTCGAACAACAGAAATGTATTCTTTCACAATTACAGAGGCCAGAAATGTGAAATCAAAGTGTCAGTAGAGCCACACTACTTGCAGAGGCTCTGGGGGAGAATCAGTCCCTTGTCTCTCCTAGCTTCTGCTGGAAGCATTCCTTCCTGTTCTTTGGCCTGAGGCTGCATCACTCCAATCTCTGTTTCTGCCTTCACATTGCTGTCTCCTTTGTGTGTTTAATTACCCTCTGCTATTCTTTCATAAGGACACTTTTGATAGCATTTAGGGCCCACCCAGATAATTCAAGATGTTCTTCTCATCTCAAGATCCTTAATTTAGATGTATCTGTGAAAACTTTACCATATTAAAGAATATTCACAGACTGAGGATTAGGGCCTGATATCTTTGGAGGCACCACTCAGCCAACTTCAACCCCTGCCAATGCGTCAGACTATGTGTCAGGCATGTCCAGGGATATCTCTCATTCCTAGTTGAGGAAGGGAAGAAACTGAAAGGAAAGCAACCATGATTTTATTTAACCAGAATGCTAAGAGTAAAAGACAATATTTGTCAGTAGAAAACAAAGTAATGATTTGTTTCTGTGCTACTGGATCATCATCTCACACATCAGCAATGACCCTACATAGGTGATAATAGCATAGAGGTGGAGACCTTGGATTCTGGACCTAGATGGCCTGGGTCAACAAACCAGGTATGCCTTATATTAGGTGTAACTTTAGAAATGCTTGATTTCTCTGTGCCTCAGTTTTTTTAATCTGTAAAATGAGTTAGCACCTATTCCAATGGGTGGCTACGAGGACTAAATGGGGCCTAGTTCACAGTAAACACTATGTGAGTGTTAGCTGTTATCATATTTTTCTGTGCATACAGGTGGACAAAAGTCTGGGGACCAGGTTAAGTACTTACTACATTTCTGAAATAGAAATCTCCACTATCTGCTTTCATGCTTTTAATTTCATTAATTACTTCTAAGGGCATCATGCAGACAACATTCTGCTTAATTAAGAATCATGGTGGCTGGGAGCAGTGGCTCATGCCCGTAATCCCAGCACGTTGGGAGACCAAGGTACATGAGGAGGTCAGGAGTTCGAGACCAGCCTGGCCAACATGGTGAAACCCAATCTCTACTAAAAACACAAAAATTAGCTAGGCATGGTGGCGGGCGCCTGTAATCTCAGCTACTCAGGAGGCTGAGGCGGGAGAATCACTTGAACCCAGGAGGCAGAGGTTGCAGTGAGCCCAGATGTACTCCAGCTTAGGTCACAGAGCAAGGCTCTGTCTCAAAAAAAACAAAAAACAAAAAAAAACATGGTAATGTGATATCCGTTAGTTGAGATTTCCTGTGTAATTATGCACACTAAGAGTGTGTACTACATGGGTAGTATATGAAAGGGCAGATACAACTTTGTAGGGACTGAAACTTGTATAACATGGGGGCCCTCTTGATGAAAAGGAATACAAAATCACAAATGCAAAATTAGGTAGAAAAGTGAATATTAGCTGGGCACAGTGGCTCAGGGCTATAGTCTCAGCTACTCAGGAGGCTGAAACAGGAGGATTAATTGAACCCAGGAGTTCGAGTCCAGCCTGGGCAACATATCAAGACCTCATCTCTTAATGACAAACAAAAAAAGTGAACCTTTACTTAGAATGAGAAGTGAGAGCAAAACAAATCATTTGTTCAATGATTTGAAAGGCAAAAGGTCATGAAAGGCAAATGAAATGGAGATTCCAGGGACTGGCCTATGCATATGTCCATGGTGTAGGTGGTTAAGAGCAGCAGCTCCAGAGTGGTCTTGATGCGGTGGAAGACCTGATTCGTAGCTCTCTTCCAGACCAAAGTCAATAAAGTTAAATCCATTCATCAATAAAGGATATTTATTACATGTAAACTGCAGCAATTTCATTTGTTTTCCTTTTTTTAAGACTTCATAGATAAAAATATTTACAGATCTGTCTGATCCTACATTCTAATTTGGGATCAGGAAAATACAGTTGTGTGTCTCCTTTAATCGTAACCTTCATCTAGAAAAGGATTCTTCTTCAGATCCTAGGTCTTACCTAGTTGGGGAAGGGAGCCTAAAATGTGGGCCTGGGGTATCAGGTCAAGATTACAGTGCCTTTACTGTACAGCACACTTTGTTTTGATCTTCTTATCCTTCTCTCCCATCTCTGTCATGGGTGTGAGTTTTCAGATGTTGTATGGCTGGCAGAGTAAGTATGTGTGTAAGAAGATGTGTGGAGAGTCCTGACCCTGTGGGCTTCTCACAGTTGTCTGGGCAGTTTGGAAGAGCTAAAGCTATTCTTTCGAGAAAGCATTGTTCCGCACAAGGACAGGGAAAGGTACAAAGCCTATCGGTATCTTCCTCCTGTTTCTTTTTCTCACTGTCTTCCTCCCTTGTCCTTCTCTCCCTGTATTGGAAGCCAACACAAATACTCACTAATTGAGATCTCTGAAAGATCCAAAAACATGAATAGCTAAGGGTGGTAGAGTTTTGGCTACCGTAACAGGAAATGGGAAGTTCAGTGTTGGAGGCTGTGGGATGGTCAGCTTCCGGGCACTTGCAAAATGACTCAGGCCATGCCTGCCCACTCAGCTTACTCACAAGGCCACTACTGCTCTTGGCAATGAGCTGACCCCTGTATTGCACGGTGCAGCTGGCCAGCTCTGCCAGGCCCAGTGAGAGTGACATGCCCACGCCAGCCTGTTCACACCTCCTCCTCAGCCAGAAACTGTGGTGCATAGAAGAGTGTTGTGTATCCCAGTGCAGGACATCACAGAACTAGTACTTCCTGAATCCCAGGGTTCATCTAAACGGATCAGGGAGGTGGAGAAAAGTAGGAACAAAACTGACATCAGTCCCATGATGGCAGATGAGACCTGATTCTGCTGAGTGACTCAGAGTTTCATCTTGTTAACAAATATATGTAGCAGCCATTTATTCAAGTATTCATTCAACAAACTATTCTTAACATATGCCAGGCACTTTGCCAGTACAAAAGATATAAAGTTCACATGTGTATTTATAAAACATATGAATATATCAGAAATAATACAGTATAATGTGATAAATTCTGTAATGAAAGATAAAACTTTAGTAAGCCAAAAATGGCAAAGATTAATTATATGTATCTGTATGTGTATGTGGGTTCTCATTCAAACCAGGGAAATGTGATTTTTTGTTTCTTAAGGACCTAAGTGTCTCCTGCCAGTACAGCCCCTTCCCCAGTAAGAACCAGCTTTCCCCTCCCACCTTGCCGTCAGGGTCACCTTCTTCTAGTATATTTTGAGTGAAATACATCCGCTCCTGAGGCGAGGTGGCCTGTGCTCCAGCCTTCTCTCCACGACCGCCTCTTCTTAGTGACTACTCACAGCTCCTGTGGTTACTGTCCTATTTCTCCTTCCCCTCACCAGACAGCATCTCACATCTGTTCTTCCCCAAAGATTCCCTCACATAAAACTGCCATATGTAAAGACTTGTGGGAGGGCTGGGGTTATGGAATGGGTCACAAGATGATGCAGAAGGAAAACTATTTCAAATAAAAAATCAAATGCCACTGTTCTTTAAAATGCCATAGCTATCCTCACCCCAATAAATATCTCACGGTCCTTCTTGAGCCCCTCACCTGCCACATGCACATGACTCTCGTGTCTCTCACCAGAGACCCCTGTTTGTTCCCAGCGATGCAGCCCCTGTGGTGTCTCTTTGTTTCCCTGAAGAAAACTCAAACTTCCCATTACTTCGTTCAGCAAAAGTTCAATGATTCTGTGTCCCAGCCTCTCCGGGTCAGGCTCAGACCTCGTGTGCATAAATCATGGCCACACTTTGATGTCTTTTCCTTTGAGAAGCTTCTCCCCTAGATGCAGAACAGCAGTGTTCCTTTTGTTGTTGATGATGTTAAAGCATTTTGTTTTCGTTTTTGTACACATGAGAGGTGGAATGAAATTAGTCCTGTAGACCCGAGTCTCCTATGGAGTCCCCCATAACCAAGGAGGTGTGGGGAATGATACGGAGCCCAGGGAAGGCAGGGTCCAGAGACAGATGACTACTTGGGTTGAAGTTCTGCCTGTGAGGCAGGGAATGTGTTCTGATAGTCTTCTTGAATCCTACCACTCTTAAGTAACATGGATTTGATGTTTTCTTTTTTACTTCAAACTTGTGATTCTAAGCCATGAAAGGATCCAATGGCTACTGTGACACGGCAGTCTCCCAGTATGATGTGGATGGCAGATGCTTAGGTACATCCCACCTCCTCACCCACATGGCTTCATCTGTTTGCCAACTCAGCATGGCCAAGTAACCTGGTCACAGTGCTTCAGATAATTCAGAGTGAGAATAAGCCAAAAGGGAAAAAAAGCAAAGAAAAACTTTCTTTTGTGTGAATGACCTAGGAAATGTCGGGACAAAAATTTTTTTTTTTTTAACTTAGATCATCCATAACTTGAACTTGGGTCTTCTTTGAATGGTTTCTAGGGAATTTTTTTCCTCCTGTTTTGAGAGATCATTCTAGCCCATTTGAAGGGCTGTGATTTCAGCACCAGCTGAGTTCCCTATCTTGGTTAGGTGTCCACTCTTTCCTTTATGGTTGACAATTTTCCCCTTCCCCAGCACTTGGCAGGAAGGGGCTCTCCTCTGAGGCCACTGTCACGTCCAGGCACGTTAGCTCCCTGGCTGCCTGCCTGGCAGACATTACTGCCACTCAGGGCCAGGGGGACACTGGGTTGAGCAGGCAAGAATGCTGGTGGTGGTTGCATCTGGGCTGCAGTTCACCATCTGGGACAGAACAGTGAGATGGAGCAGCCGTGAGCAGATGGAGGGTGCACATCCATGGAGACTCAGTATGTGTCAAATACAGCCTCATAAGGAAAGGGCACAGGGAGATACTGAAAGTAAAAAAGTTGTTGCTTACAAGCTTTAAGAATCTAGAGGGAGTTCTACCATGGAGAAATGAATGCAAAGAAAGAAGCCTAAACGGAAAGAGGTAATGAATCCAAAGCTCTGAGACCAATAGGCAGCGAACAACTTGCAACTCAAAGCCACCAGCCTTGCCTTCCAGCCCTCCCTGATCACCCCTTTTCCTGAACACATATCACATTTTCCATTTTTGTCACTTGTCTTGGCATTTACATCATACCCTGTCTGACATTGTTTCCCAACTCTTGTCTCATGTGTATCCATTATGTCTTCACAGCTTAAAAATGAACTCCTGGAGGGTGAGACCATGCATGACAACTGGCAGAAGGTATGGAGAAAACCAGTTTTTAAAACTCGTATACTTACTATAAGAGAAATGATACAATTTAGCCATTGCGTTGTACGTTGAACTAAATTGAGTAATAATTATTATAAAAAGCAAATTGGCCAGCCAATAGACACGTGAAAAAATGCTCATCATCACTCGCCATCAGAGAAATGCAAATCAAAACCACAATGAGATACCATCTCACACCAGTTAGAATGGCGATCATTAAAAAATCAGGAAACAACAGGTGCTGGAGAGGATGTGGAAAAACAGGAACACTTTTACACTGTTGGTGGGACTGTAAACTAGTTCAACCATTGTGGAAAACAGTGTGGCGATTCCTCAAAGATCTAGAACTAGAAATACCATTTGACCCAGCCATCCCATTACTGGGTATATACCCAAAGGATTATAAGTCATGCTGCTATAAAGACACATGCACACATATGTTTACCGCGGCACTATTCACAATAGCAAAGACTTGGAATCAACCCAAATGTCCATCAGTGACAGACTGGATTAAGAAAATGTGGCACATATACACCATGGAATACTATGCAACCATAAAAAAGGATGAGTTCGTGTCCTTTGCGGGGACATGGATGCAGCTGGAAACCATCATTCTTAGCAAACTATCACAAGAACAGAAAACCAAATGCCGCAAGTTCTCACTCATAGGTGGGAATTGAACAATGAGATCACTTGGACACAGGAAGATGAACATCACACACTGGGTCCTATTGTGGGGAGGGGGGGAGGGGGGAGGGACAGCATTAGGAGATATACTTAATGTAAATGACAAGTTAATGGGTGCAGCACACCAACATGGCACGTGTATACATATGTAACAAACCTGCACGTTGTGCACATGTACCCTAGAACTTAAAGTATAATAAAAAATAAATAAATAAATAATTTTGCTAAAAGAAAAAAAAATAAGTGGGAGCTGAACAATGAGAACACATGGACACAGGGAGGGGAACATCACATACCGGGGACTGTCAGTGGGTAGGGGGCAAGGGAAGGGAGAGCATTAGGACAAATACCTGATGCATTTGGGGCTTAAAACCTATATGATGGGTTGATGGGTGCAGCAAACCACCATGGCACATGTATACCTATGTGATAAACCTGCACTTTCTGCACATGTATCCCAGAACTTAAAGTAAAATAAAAATAAAAAGTAAAAATAAAAAAAAATAAAATAAAATATTGTAAAAATGTAAAAAAAAAATTAAAAATGATAAAAAGCAAATTGGCACTATAAAAAACTATTCTCCACCTAATTTTTTGGTCCAAAATTATTTTTAAGGTTTTTATAGGAAAAAGTTTTAAACATAAGCTAAAGCAGAGGGAACAGTATAACTAGCCCCTATATAAGCATCACCTACAGTCCAGAAATTTTAATTGAATTTTTCACCACTCCTGCTTCATTCATCCCCTTCTTAACCCAGAGTCATTAAAAAAAAAAACTTCGATTATAAAACCCAGATATGTTATTTACCCCTGTATACTTCAGCATGCATCTTTTAAAAATGTGGACATTTTCTTTAATAATCATAATGCTTTCATCCACTTAATGAGCATCAACTTAATATTAACAGTAGTTCCTGGATATCATCTGAACTTGCCAATTGTTTAGAACATCATTGAAAAGAAGGCCTGTTACTCAGCCCTGTCACAAGGAGCCATGCGGGAACTGACCTTGATTATACCTAAGGCCAATTCTTACTTGGTAGTAGTAGCAGAATCTGAGATTCATAATCACAAGCCCTTAGCTTCCTACTCTCTGGCTAGGCCATAGGACTGGCCTGGAGTCCAGCTTTCTGGAGAGAGGCTGCCAGGTTTCAGATAGCTGATGGTGTTTAGAGGTAGGGGTGTGTGTGTGTGTGTGTATGTGTGTGTGTGTGTGTGTGTGTGTGTGTGTGTGTGTGCACCTAACCCAGGAGCCATCTTTGGGGTATTAAGGTAGGAATAGATTTCAGGAATGAGGGATGGAATTCAGGTGTCTGTGAATTTAGACAGGAAAAAAAGATACCTCTGACGTTTTTACTAACCTCTAATGGAAATTTTAAATCTCTTTCAACTATGATGATAGGCGGCAAACTGCAGAAGTAGTTGCAGTATCTGTGACTGTCACCAATAGAAGGAAAAGTATTTTAATATCACATCACATTATTGCAGGTATTGTCAAATATTGTGAATACTTATCATTACTTTGAAATTATGTTGATTCTTTTCTCACCTCTAGATCTGGTTGTGGAACATGTCAGTAAAGAAACACACATATTATTAGATCACAAACTTGTTTTTGTTTCTACAGTTTGTATAACTGTATTTCAGTATGCTTTGTTTCCTTTGTAATTCCATGTATTTTATTTTACACATTTTAAAACAATATTCTGAAAAGGAGTCTGTAAGCCTTTACCAGATGGCCCAGGAAATTCACAGCACAAAAGGCAAAGAACCGCTGGGATGGAGCCAGCCTGTGTGGAGATGCCCAGAAAACATCTTCAAGGATTGTTCCTTGATTAATTCATCAATTTCTTGAATATAATAACCAGGGGTGAGAAATTGGCCCCTATAAGGAGTCTCGGAAGTTGCAAGAGCCATGTGACAGCCTGTCTCCAAAATGACATTGCTCCTTGTGTTGGCATATGAGTCACAGACTTTGGCCAGCTCTTCTGAAAAGATGCTCGAAGTACTCCAGAGTACTATAAATATCCAAGGTATTAATAGAATTCCTCCCACCTCAAGGCTGCAGTTCCTCCCACTGCCTTCCTGCTGCATATTGGGCACATGTGGGGAGGACAGTTGGAGAAGCTCAGCTCACAGGCAGAAGCCTATCGTTCTGTAGCCATGACACTAACTTGCCGTCCTGAGCATGGGGAGAGGGAGGGAAAGCAATTTGTCTAAACTCCCTTTTCTGGAAAATGAAAGTGATGCTACTTGCCACCTACCTCACAGAGTTTGAAGTCAATCAGCACAGTTTATACGCACAATCCTATGAATATCACATTGTCATATCATGAAAAAGTTACCAAGCTCTTCTAAACGCAGGGAGTAAAATTGACCAGCTGTTGCCAGAATCACATAGCCCCCATTCTTTACCTGATAATTCATCAATCTTATTTGCTTCTCACAGTCTAATGACTACCAGCATTATGCAATGAACTGCATATAATTGCTTATACAGTATATAATTGGCTTATATGGTAACATGTCTTTAAGTTTTCTAATCAAGATAAAAGATCTTTTACAGTTATTTTTGCTTCCTACGGTCACAGCAATTTATCAGCCCTTGAATTTCACATTCACATTTGATGTGGCTTTTGGCAGGGGTATGTTAATAACAATCAAACACTAAAAACAGACTGGTAACTGTTCACATTAGCCCTAAACTGAAGATGATCCAAATGTCCACCAACAGTAGAATGAATGAAATAATTTATGATACATCCCCACAAGGGCATACTATACAGCATGAGAATAAATGAACTATTGCTACTGGCAAGACCATGTATCAGTCTCACAAATATAAGGTTGAGGAAAAGAAGCCAGACAGGAAAGAGAACCCACTAAATTATTCTGTTTATGTAGAGTTCACAAACAGGCAAAATGAGCCTGGGGTGTTAGCAGTTAAAAGCGGAGGTTATCTGTGGAGAGGGAGCAGTGGCTGGAAGAAGATATGAGAGGGTTTCTGGATGTTATTAATAATTCTGTTTTTTGACTTGGGTGCTGGTTACTTGGATACAGTCATTTTGTAAAACTTTATTGAGCTGTACACTTAAAATTTGTGCACTTTTCTGTGTGTATGTTAAACTTCAAAACAAAGATTTAAAATTTTTAACGAAGAGAAAAGAACACGGTACAAAAAATTGTTTTTAAACACACTCTTCTCCAGTGTATATAGCTTCTTGGAGAACTGGTGATGTTTGAAAACAATGTTAAGAAATCTGGAATTCTTGGCCAGTGCAATGGCTCATGCCTCTAATCCCAGCACTTT